TTAATAATTAATATTTCTGAAAGATTACAGAGTCTAACTAAAAGTACTTTATTAATAGAAATAAATATAAATATTTTATAATAAAAAGATCAAAAAAATTTTTTTTCTTTATAAATTAAATATTATTTTTTTAATAAAATAAATTAAGATTTAATATTAACTTATAAAAATTTTTTTTTGATAATTTTTTTAATTTTTACTTATATATCAAAATTAGTTAAAATAAAATAGAAGAATATTTAAAGAGAAAGAAAAAGATCTAATAAAATGAATAACTAATTTTTATAAAGATTTAAAAATTTGTTAAAAGTTTATATAATTAACTATAATATTAAAAATAAAAATATATAGAAATTGCAATAAAGTAAGATATATAATTAAAAATTATATAACTAAAGATAAAGACTATTATTAAGTTTAAAATGATCTTTATTTAAACTTTGTATAATTATAAAAGCCAATCAGCATTGGCTTAATTATTGAGTGAATGAATAGCAGAATATAATAGTTCTAATATATATAATTCTTTATTTCATTTTAAACTATTAATTAACAAGTAATAAGAAAATAAAATTATTTATTATATATATAATAAGTAAAGATATATATTAAGAAATTGTAAAATTAACCTAATTATTTTAATAATAAAACAATTAATTAAAAAAATTTTTTAATCAATATTTTAGTTAACATCAATAAGCTGAGTATAATAATTTTTTTTCCAAATTATTTAAACTAGAAAATGCATAATAAAAATACAAATAAATCAAACTTTTTAAAATAAAGTGAATATTATATACTTTAAAAATAAGTAACATATGATATACTTCTTTTATAGTAATTTTTTATTAGTCATATATTTTTATTATATTATTCTATTATATTAATATTAATTAATAAATATTTATTACTTGTTACTTATTTTAGAAAAAATACAGTAATTTAAAATAAAAATTTATATAAAATTTAAAAAGTTAATAATAAAAATCTTATATTAATCAGTGAAAATGTTATACTCAAAAATTATAAAAATTAGTAAATTTATTTAAATTATTAATTTTTTTTTATAATTAAATATACTATTAAATTTTACTAAGTTACAGTATATTTGAAATCTTTATTTCTTCTTTTATAATAGGTTATTTATATATAATAAATACTAAATAGCAAATTTAAAAAAAGGTTAATTAATATATTATTAAAATGATATTTATAGATTTATTCTATTCAATCTAAACCTAAAGTAATAGTTTATAATTAATAATATTATAGAAATTGTAACTTTAAATTTTAATGATGATATTACTTCTATATATTTTCTAATTTTACTTTATATTTCATAATATTTAACTAAGATTACTGAACAAAATCTAAAAGTTTTGCAAGTTGTTTAAATAGAAAAGTTAAAATTTAATGAAATTATATTAAAACCTTATTAAAAAATCTACAAAATTCTGAAAAAGATAAAACTATATCAAAGTTTATAAAAATGCAAATTTATATTAAAAATTTAGTAAAAAAATTAGTAAAACTATAGTTTAGATATTTTTTCAAATTCAAAATGAGTTTAAATAAGCAACCTTATATTTAATTAATATATTCAAAACTAATAATATTTATAAGAATTCTATAAATAAAAATAATGTTTTGCTTGTATCACTTTCTATTAATTTTTTTGATAAATTTAAAAATATGAATCAAATTCTAAATTTGCTTTTTTTCTTCAATCTTATAAAGATTTATTTCAAAAATAATAAAATTAATAGCAGATAATTAGTATATATGTAAATATATTTTTTTGTATAAATAATTAATATTAATTATATATTAAACTTTTTAGATAATAATAATAATATTATTATTATTATTGAATATAATTTTGATAAAATAGAGAAGAGTTTAAATGATTGTATTTTAAAAAAAATCAGAATTTTTATGATAATGATAATAAAAAAAAAAGTGATAAAATAATTAAATATTATGAGCAATAATATAACAAAAATAATAATAATTAATAATAATAAAAAAGTTAATATTACCTTTTTTATTTATTTTTCTATTTCTTTACTTTCTTCTTTTTTTTCACTTTTTTTATTAACATCTTGTATAATTATTGATTATATTAAAAATATTATTTAAAGATGTATAAATTATGAAGATTATATAATATATATCAAATATATTAAAATGTATTTTAACAAATAAATAATAATTATTTCAAATTAGAAATTTGTGATTCTCATTTTTTTTGATCAAAATTAAATTTATAAAAATTTAAATAATTAATTTAAATAAAATAAATTTATCTATAATTTAAAATTGAAAATATATTAGATGTAAAAATTCATTTAATTTAAATAATATTTAAGCTTTATCATCACTTATTTTTTTTTCTTCATAATATTTTATTAATAAATTATCAACCATTTGACTATTTCATCTGTATCTTTTTTAAAATATTATAATATAATTTTTGACTTGCATTTGTAATATAATATTAATATATTTTAATAAATGATCAAACTTGTTTATAAGTAACTGCATTTAATAATAAAGAATAATTAAATTGTTAAGTTTTATAAATGTTTAAAATTTGTAAAATAAGTACTTTATTATTTTAAAGATATATCATTATCTAGTAATAGATGCATTATAAAAATTCTCTTATAAAATATAAAAATGTAATTATAATACCAATTTTTAATTTTAAGCTTTTATTACTTATATACTTCTAAAAAATTTTTGCTTTAATTAAAAATTCACTAACTTGAAAATTAGAAATTTCATTTTCTAATTTATAAAAATGATTTTAATAATTTTTATCTTTATACTATAAATATAATATAAAAATTAATATAAATATTTTGTTATTATTAAACTTTTTTAAATTTAATAATAAAAAAAAAATTAATTTTCAATATTATATATAAAGTTAAATTATATTTAATAATAACTAATCTAATATTAAATTTTTTAATACAATAGTTTTTAAAACCACTATAATTAAAATATAATATATTGTTTATTGCAATACCAATTTTTAATAATTAAATATAAGAATCAGCAAGATTAATATTTTTTACTTTTAATATTTAAAATAATATTTTAATTGATATTAAAATATTTAACATTGTTAAAAAATGTTTTTTATTGATTTATTTTTAATTTCACTTGAATTATTTTTATAAAAAAAATAAAAATTAAATAATATATATAATTAATTATTATTTACTTACTTCAATAAGATATTTTTTTAAATATAATATTGAATTACCTTAATTATTTGATATTTGTAATTAATTTGTTAATTTAATCATAATGTTTTATTACTATATTATAATATTTAATTATTTTATTAGTAAAGTTATGATTTAAAAATTATAAGTTATTAAATTGAAATAATGCATAATATATTTAATATTAAAAATTTTTAAAAATTGATTAGTAACCAAATTATGTGTTACAATTATATTTGGTCTATTATTAATAATTATAGCAGCTAATTTTTTAATTTCAATTAAATTTATTATTTTTATACTTCTTCTGTTAAAAAGTTTCCTATATATTTTTTTTAGATAAATCTTTTATTTTATATAAATATTCTTGTTAAGTTGGTATTAATATTATAAAATTTTAAAATGATTATTTTATTAGTAATATCTATCTATTAATGATTAATGTATTATTTAAAACTTTTTTAATTTTTAGATTTATCTGAATTACTTCTTTTTCTAATAATTTTATAGCTAATTTTCATTTTAATAGTAAATTATAACTATTTAAGTAATTTAATAAAAGGGATTTTCTAAATATTATATTATAATATGCAAATATTTTTAATAAAATACTATCAATTTCTTTAACTTTAGATCCACTAAATTTAATTTTTTCAAAATTAAGTATTATTTGAATGTTTAAATCAATTCTATATTACTTTTTTTAGATTTTCATTATTTTGTATTTCATTTTTTGTTAATTTATTTATAAAAATTTTGGATATTTCTTTAAGATATATTAAATAAACTTTAGCCAAATATATTTTTAAGTTTAAGATTTAGCTACAATCCAAAATTTATTACAATAAATGCAAGTTCCTTCATAATTGCCAAAACTTTTTGCTTTTATATTTTTAAACTTCTGTAAATTTTTGACCTCTTTTTTTTTTATATTAATTTTATTTGATGATTTAGTATAATAACTTGAAAGTATATCATTTGTATCATTAGAATTTTGAAAAGATAAAATTTCTTCAATCATTTTGTTTAAAAAATATTGAAAACTAAATATTTTAAAAAAGTATGTAAATATTTTTTTTAAAGAATCAATAAACAAAAAAATAAAAAATACATGTAATTAATTAATAACTGGTTATAACCAGTTATAAATTGCAACTATTATAAAAATTACAACCATATTACAATAAGTTGCAATTATTAAACTTATATAATTAGTTGCAACTGGTTGCAACCAATTTTAATTTATTATTTAAATTAAGTTGCAACTTTAAGTTCGACTCGATTATTGAGCGGGGACATCTGTAACACCTTGCATAGACATATATAGTCCGGAGCGAAGCGAAGGACTAATAAAAGCTGCAACTTTAATTTAAGTTGCAAGTATAATAAATTTTATGAAGTTGCAACTTATATAATTTAATTGCAGTTACCAACTTTAATCTTTAATGAAGATTGCACCTTCGACTTGAAGTAGTCTTATATACTGTATTATTCGAGTATGAATTGCTTATTAGATACGTTCTTTTCAGAGTTAAATATGATAGTAAAAGTACAGCAGACATAAAATGATATCTTTCTAATTACGAATAACGCGAATATTTTTTTTATTATCACATTTTTATAAAAATTTAATTTATCAAAATAAAATAATAAAATAAAATAATGAGTAGTATTACAAAAAAGTATTACAAATATTACAATTACAATGTATTAAATTAAAAGGTATATTTTTGATTGTTAATTTTAAGGTGTTTTTTTTTTTTTTTAAAAGATCCATTGTACAAATGTATATATGACTGGTATCAAAGTCATTATACCCCAACCAGTTATTGAATTTGCTCCGTTTGATTTAGATTTGCCATTATCACTTTTGCCGGAACCATTAGTGCTGTTTCCAACCAAACCCGGTGCTTTACTTAAATCAGTGTACGCGCATGAATCACTTTGACAGAGACATTGATTACCAATGGGGTCCCACCAAACCGTATCACAAGTTGTTGGTACACGAGCACGGCTACCACCATCTGGAACAGGATTGCTAAGAGATGGGATAGCATTAGGACATCCGTAACAAGTACTCCATACTTCCGTGTTGAAATTACACGTTTCTTTAAGTCCATCATCTATTGTCCCGTTTCCGTCATCATCCAAACCATTGCAAATTTCTCTTCCAATTTTAGGAGCCTGGCATGAGAAAGGTGGATAATCTTTAAGTTGATCGGCCGGAACCGGATTTTTCATCCATTCCAACAACTGTTGACTGGTTACAAACCAAGTATCTGGCTGTTTGAGAGCCCAATCTAAAAAGTCCTCAATCATTTGAATACTTGGTTTGGGATCTGGTCGACCTGGTATGTCGGAAGCAAGTTGAACCGGGTGAAGGTATAGACCGAAGGGAGTTTTTCCTTGTGTTCCATGACGAATGAAATTGTCTTGTAACCATTTCTGAACCGTTTCTGGTGGTCCATCAAGCATTGGATCCATTAAATGTGGTAAACCCTTTTCATCTATGAAAATTATAATGATTGAATTAGCCAAAAAAATTAATAAAAGAATTACTTGGAATGACATCATCATCATAATTACCTATAAGAGCAGCCATCGGGATTTCAAATACACCGGGATGCTTAACTGTATCACAAAAACCTTTCCAGCAATCATTATATAAACCGTTATCCATAGTATAAGGCCAAGTAGCATCTTCCGGTAAGGCAGTCGTTGAGGAATCATATTGAAATCCTTGTTCGGCAATGATATCAAAAGTTTTTGGTTGCCAATTAAGGAAGGGGGATCTCCATCCTGAAATCTTGCCATTTGGAATACCAGCAAAAGCATTGAGCGCTTTTTTGTTTCCAATAATTTCATCTATTACGCAAAAAAAAAAATTATTAATCATTTGATTCGAACGAGTAAAAAAAAAAAAAAAAAAAAAAAAAAATTTTTTTTTACCATCAAAAGGATCTTGTGGATGTGTCATGGTATGATCGGCAACCTATTAAAATAAAAGTTCTCTTATTAAATCAAATTTTAGATATATATCTCTATATATGTATTATATATACCTCGTGTCCCGCTGCGTACCATTCCGTTACCATTGAAAAATCAGTATATTGAGTGCTAACATAATAAGTAGTTTTAATTGGACATCTATGAATTAAATAAAGTTTGTAATTTAGCACGAATTTGTTTCGATTTTATTTTGTTTTAGAAATCAATAGTAATAATTACCCATTAGGATTTACTCTCTTTCCAAGAAGTTGATTTACAACTGGAAGGTTTTGTAATTATTATTAATACAAATCACGTGAGGAAAACGCAGAATGCATTTTGTTTTATACTTACCATTTATGGTACGATCTTGAATCGAATCATCTAAATAAGAAAGCGAATTTATCGTTAATCATCATTGTATAATTTTTAACCTTTCGTTAAAATATATTAACATCCTTACCAAAAGTTAAAAGGAAGAATTGAGGTGTCTTGTCGACTGACAAGCCACCCGGAGGGTTAGTAGTTGCGCAAAAACATTTTGGTGGTTGACAAGTGGTAGGGTCACACGCGTAACCTTCAACTGTCTCGAGACGACTTAGAACACCAAGAAGTGTACAAACAAAAGTTAAAGAGATTATTCCTGAAAATTTTTTAACCATTTTATAAAAAAATAATGAAAAATATTTTATTTTATTTTATATTATATTAAGGAGGGTTTTTTTCATTAAATAATAATTTTTTAACAAAGATAAAATGGGAGAAAATAATAATTTTTTAACAAAGATAAAATGGGAGAAATAGAAATTTATTAAAAAAAAAGACAAAAAGTTCAAAAAAAAAAAGAGAAGAATCTCTCTCAATTAATGTCCAAAGCATCAACTCGCGATAAATATTTATACTTTTATTTTTGGTTACATCTTGTTGATTATTAGTTAATAAACATTTGTTCTTATTCTTATGTAAATTAAATGCTTAAAATGTTTAAAATGTGCAATGCAGTATGATCCAGTTACTATTGAGCAATCTTGCCTTAAATTGATATTCAAGAAAGGAAGTTTTTTATATTGCGGACGCACCGAATAAATCTTTTCTCGGATGCATTTGGGCAAGTCGATATAGAATGGATTCACTCAGGTCAAGTAAGAATAATTTCCGGACTTAATAGTTGAGTTTTCATGATATTGTGCACTTATTTAAGAACGAGAAAAGACATTAAAAAATCGAGAGAATTCTTTAGAATTCATCGTGGTAATATGCCTGGAAGTTTTTGACAATTACGGTGCACCGGACCATTTGTTGGGACCTTCAATCGACATGCAAAAAAACTATCCAAAAGCGGGAAAAAAAAGAAATTCGTCTCACCCATTATTCAAATTAGTTTCATACAAACTATAAGCTTTTAATAAATTTTTATCCGAGTACCATGATTATTGAGTTAATGAAAAAGTCGAGATATATGTGAAACGGTGATACTATTTAATTGATCGATCAACATAATAGCACAAACGCCAAGACATTTCATCTTAGTTTTTTTTAATTAGAACCGTATTTAGAAACCCCCCCGGATTCAAAGGATATTCTTTGGAAAGAATGTTCGCTAAAAAGAGTGTAAAGGGGTTATTATTATGCGTTCAATACCTTATAATCACATATTGTCATCTCAAAAGGCATAATATAAAAAGTTGTTCCCACAGATGGAAAGATTTGATAATCAAAATATATTCATATATATTCATATATATTTATATGTTTTTTTAATTACTTTAAATTAAATAGGGTAAATAGCAATCATGTATGGTATGGATTTTTATGTATGGAATGTAGGGTATATAGCAATCATGTATGGTATGGATTTTTATGTATGGAATGTATGGTTTCTATGACAATATTTCCATACATGTATGGATTTCTAAAGTTTTTAAATTTTTTAATTTGATTAATTATATATATAATATAATGAATTAAACAAAACAACTACCAACGCGACTTATTATTTTTCTGTGTTCAAATCAAATCCGATCATTTTTTTAAGATGTATCTGACGATGAAATTATAATTAGTTTAATCTAATTATATAAATATTCAATACCGGTATGGATTGAAAATTGAAAATTCCATACCAGTATGGTTTTTACGGCGATTAATCATACCGGTATGGAAAAATCATACATATCGGAACCATACATTCCATACATAAAAATCCATACCATACTAACACCTAATTAAAACCATATTTGGACTTCGGGATTTTAAGAGCAAAACGCTACGATGAACTTTGTAGGTTATTTTTTCTTTTACTAAATATTTACCGATCCTTACCAAATATGACTGGTAATTTGAAAAAAAAAAACTCTCCTAATTTGCCTAACGAACCACCGCAGGCGCGAATTTCTTTTTCCTTTCTAAATATAGAAAAATACAGACATGATGTCGGATGATGCGCATTGATTACATATAAAGAACTCGGATAAATAATTCTTTTTTTCGGCCAATACTTAAAACCGTTCAATGGTTCTCTATTATTAATATTTATATATTTTGACGAAAAAAGTTAATCAGAATCCTCAGAAAGTTGAGCGGCGTAACCCCATAAAATGTTGATTTTTTCTATATGTTCTAATGCTATATATGTTCATAATTATCAATCATGATATACAGTCAACTCTCTATAAATGCACCCCGGGACCAGACATTAGCGTGCATTTATATTAAAATACTGATTTATAGTAGTTTGTTGCATTGAATTTAATTTTTTCTTTTTAACAAATTTTTCATTTGTATTGACTAATTTTATATATTCATTCGAATCTTCTTGTTGAAGAAGAAATGTATGAATATTTTTTAAACTTTTTAATGCTATATTATTACTAATAATTGGAACCTCTGTATTATCATCCATTTTATCAATATTATCAATATCATTAATGTTCTCTTCATTAGATTTTTTAAAAGTATTTACAAGATCTGCTATAATTTGTTCATCTTTAAGATCTTCAAAAACAAATCTTTTTCAGGAATGATAAGAAATTCTTCTATTTTCATTACATTAGAAAGGTAAAGGACTTTAAAATATATCATAAAGTTCTTTAAGTATTAAACCATCAGTCTCATCATCTAATTTAATATCAGAATCAAAAGGAAGAATTTTGATATGGTACTAACAATTTTAAATTGTTTTAGTTATTACTTCCTTTCAACCTTAAATAATATATTAAATTGCTTGTAAAACATCCATTTTTAAATCTCGTATATATTGATCCACCTCAACTTATTTTAATATCTAATTAAAAAAAATATGTATTAATAAAATATTTAATACAATTTATTTAATATAATTAAAATAAAATTTACCAAATATGATATTGACGATTATTGACGATAATGTCTTTTAAAAAACATAATAATTCAAATATCTATTGGTTTAATTTTAGAAGTTATATTAGAAAATAAATTTTAACATATAAAAGATTTAAATTTTGTATTTTATGACTTGAACAATTATCAAGTAATAACAATACACATTGACCATTATGTTTATATAAGCAACATGATATTTAAATTCTTGAAGCCATTCTTGAAATAAATTTATAAGCATCCATACTTTTAAATTACTTCGATATGTTATTTTAAAATTAGAGATATTAATGTTTTTAAAATATTTTAGCTTAGTAAACTTTCTAATAACTAAAGAAGATAGTTTATGTAAACTATCAGTATTTATATATAAGATAATAAAAAGTGTTTCTTATTTTTTTTATATCTAAAAAAATATTTTGTAACTAAAGTTTTATTTATTTCCAATCTAAAACAAGGCAAAGAATTAATTTAAAGTTTGATAAAATAGGAAAATTTTTACTTAAATCACATGATATCGATTATATTCAAAAAATAAAGTTTTAATATATAATAATAAAAATAAATTGATAAATAAATAAAGATACATACTGGTAAAAAAGTTCAGTTTCATATATATTATAAATTCATTCAGATAGATAACTAGTATATTTATTATGTAATAATGATAATGCTTCAGTAATAATATCTTGATCAACAGATGCTGCTTCCTTTAGAAATTATTTTGATAAATATCATTTCATTTGTTAAATCTATGAACCAACCAGAAGAAAATTTTAAAGTCTTCTCAAGAATTTTTAATCTATTTGTCAATAGTTTATCTTTTTTAATCAATATTGTATTACTTAATATTGTTTTATACTGATAATTTAAAATAAATTCTTTTAAAACAGGTTCAAGTTCAAAAAAGGTAGCTGTCTTATTTTATTTTTGCTTTGAATAAATAACTTCTGTGATAAATCATCTATTTGAACTTTTAAAATTTGTATTATTGTAAACTTATCAACTTTAATAATTTATTTTTTTTAATTTAATCGATATATTTAATTCAGGTTAACTTATATTTATTAACATATAGATAAAGTTCATATTTTTGAGAACTTGAAAAAGTAACTTTTTTTTGTAAAAGATATCATGTTAGATAAAAAGAATATAAAATTACTTCAAAAATGCATATAGTGAATATAATTTAAAAATAAAGAACATAAAAAATAAGATAAATTAAAAAAAAAGCATTGTGAAACAAAAAAAATAATAACATGATATTTTAAAAAAGAAATAGTATTATGATATTAGATAAAAAAGTGATAATATTTTAAAGTTAGTAATTGTTATTATTGAGGTTAATAGTATTGTTAAAGGTAGTGGTTGTAATTAAGTGGTTAGAATTTGCATTTTATTAAGTAAAATTTAAGTTATCCATTAAACTAACAGATTGGTTAACAGGTTAATAATATAGTTAATAGAAGATTTTAACAGGTTGTTTAAAAAATACTAATCTCACATTCTAAATATGAAAGTTTTCAGTACTTTATTTTAACATACTGAACTAGTTGAGCTAAGAAAAATAAAAATATAAAAAAATAAAATTAGTATATAGTACTTAGTAAAAGTAAAGTAAATAAAACAAATAAAAAAATCTTACTGATTAATTGTTAGCTAAAATTTTAAACTGTAAATTTGATATTAACATATATTAAGTTACAAGTTTAAATACTATCTTTGATAAAAAATAATAGATTTTTAAGATTAAAGAAAATGAAGGCTAAAAGAAGAAAAGTATTTTTTTCTTTAATCTTATTGAAACAATTGAATTTATCTAACCTTTTTTTTCTAGTAAAATATACTACTTTGAGAGATATATAATGATTAAATATTTGTAATAAAATTACATATCTATAGTATTGAGTCATATGGATGCATTTAGAGAGATAATCATATATATAATCCAGACTAAAAAATTGTTATACAATACAAAAAAAAAGAGTTTACATTTAGTATTAAGTTTTAAGCTTAGAACTGAATTATAAGATACAATTATATAAAATATGTATTTATAAAGTATGTATTTATAAAGAGTTAACTGTATGATCGATCTATTAAAATCAATTAATTTAATTATAAGATTATAATTAATTTTCCATCTATAATTCTTTACTATATATTTATAAATTTATTTAGTCAATACACTAATGATAAACAATAGATTAACTTCAAGAGCTATTAGTATAATTGAACTATAATATATATAAAGACCTTCATGAATATCAATATTATCACCAATAAATACTTGTTTCTTATAATT